AATTTTTGTATTTCAAGTAATAAATTATGTTAATCTGTATCATTTTGTGCTCGTTTTTTTTTTGACTGGGGCTTCCGACATCTACGTCATTTCAGCCCCCAACTAAGTTTATATTCTATTTACCCTTTCAAACACTACATTCATACAAATAGATACATTCATACACATAAATACATCCATACAGTACACTCATTCCGTTTGGTCGGTGGAGTACTTGATATTACTCCACCGACCCTATACTCAAACTAATCTAGGTTGGGGTCGATGGAGTACATTTATAAATATTCCGCCAACGACCCCGAAAAAAGGCCTTTGACAAGGTTGTACATGAGGGGATCCTATACAAAGCTAAACCCCATCTATCAGACTCAATGTACAGACTACTGAGGTCATACTTACACGGTAGAACATTTTCTGTCAAATGCGGTCAAGCAGTATCAGCGTCCAGACCTATGGCATCAGGAGTACCCCAAGGAAGCGTATTGGGCCCCTTCCTCTATCTGATATACACTCATGATTTCCCGTCGTCAGCATCATCAACACTGGCACAGCTGGCGGACGATGTCGCGATATTAAAAAGGGACTCCTCCTACCCATTGGCACAGGAAGACCTCCAGCTGCTCCTAAACGAGATATCAAGTTGGTGCATCAAATGGAGAGTTAAAGTTAATACCACTAAATCAATAGTAGTACCATTTACAATATGTCGCAAAAGCTTTGAGGAGACGATGGTCCTGAATGGAATGCCAATCCCAAGCAGCAACTGCGTGCGCTATCTAGGCGTCCAATTAGACTCGAAACTTACTTGGAGCGAACATATAAAGCAATTGGTCACTAAAGTTCGCCAAAGAATAAGACAGCTGAAACATCTGTTAGGCACTCAATCTCCTCTTACTTTGAGCACTAAGAGACTCTTATATCTGTCGCTAATTAGGCCCATTTGGACTTACTCCTGCGAACTCTGGGGAGCGACAGCTAAATCACACTTGAACAAAATCCAGGTGACACAAAATAGAGTACTACGACTCATCACAGGCGCCCCGTGGTACGTGCGCAACAGCACATTGCACCGTGATCTACATATCCCAATGGTGGAGCACGTTGTGAGAAACGCATACTTAGCATTAAACACAAGGATGTCTGACCACGCTAACCCATTGATTGCTCAAATTGCGACACAACTCCCACCTCATCCTTCTCGCCGACGCCTCAAGAGAAAGCTGCCACAGGACTTCCTTATAGATGACTCTACCACCACTCCGTAGCAAATGGTGGAACCTTGTTGTTAAATATTATTGTTGTTATAAATTATTTATTATGCTGTTGTTATCTCTCTTCCTTCTATTTTATAGTTTAATATATATGTATACGTTCCTCTAAGGAAAAAATCATATCATAACTTATTGCGCGAGTGCCAAAGACTATAAAGTTATAGCAAATATATAATATATGATGTAGGGTAGTTAATGAACTACACCTTGGATCATGTTACATGCGAATTAGTATACATGTATACTACTATATACTGCTGTTATCAAAACTGTAATGAATATAAGATCAATAAAGTTTTCTTAAAAAAAAAAAAAAAAAAAAAAAAAAAAAAAAAAAAAAAAAAAAAAAAAAAAAAAAAAAAAAAAAAAAACGACCCCGAACACACACTCTTACGCTCTCATCGTTCGAGGGGTGATGATGACGTTATATTTCACCCTCACCCCTCGCCATTCTCGCTAATAAATACATGCACTCGTGTTCGTTGTTCTTCTCTCTAACGAATATTAGTTGTATTAATAATTTTTCAGGAAAAGATATTTATTATTCAGAACAACACCTTCGATATAACGTTTTAAATTTCATTTAATTTTCATAATGTGTGATAAAAATATTATAAAACAAGGGGTAAAGAAACATCGTGTGTTTATATCTCGGGAAAGAGGAGAGAAAGAGAGGGAAAGGGAGAAAGAGAAAGAGAAAGAGAAAGATAGAGAGAGGGTGGGAGAGAGGGAGAGTGAGAGATACTCTTTAGGCGAAGGAACCATCCGGTCAGAAAGGAATCGCAACCTCTTTAGAAGAACGATTGCTTCAAGACATATCTAATATTTTTTATCGAAATTATAGTACAATTATTTCATAAACAATAAAAATACATTAAATAAATAGTTTTTAAATAATAATAAATCCATATTTTAACATTGAGATGTGGCCATAGGTTTTCGTTAATATCGGCCTCACTCACGGCGCTGAGAATATGCTAAACCATCACGACCGCCAGGTCTTGCAAAACTAATACACCACGACGCCGTACATTTCTGTTTTTCATCGAATAACAAAAGCATTAAAGGATGTTAACAATGAAATGCTTTTGTGCTGACAAAAAGAGAGTGTTGACAAAATATCACACGTGCATTGATGGCGAAATACGAAAAGTCGTGTGTGAATATTTTTAATAAATCAACCATCCAACATTAATTCAAAGAAAATGATGTTATCGACAAGATATCCATGGAAATATTTCACGAGGGAATGAAAATTTGATTCTGAACGGCGAAACAGGTTTGGAAAAAAGAAAACCAAATGAAGTGTATATGTGTGTGTGTGTGTGAGAAGAGAGAGAGAGAGAGAGAGAGAGAGAGAGAGAGAGAGAGAGAGAGAGCGAGAGAGTGAGAAAGAGAATGTTATGAAGGAAATGCAACCTCATTAGAAGACCGATTGGTTCAAGGCTTATGTAATAATTTTATCCAAATTATAATAAAATTATTTCGTAAACAATAAAAATACATTAAATAAATAGTTTATAAATAATAATAATATATACATATTGTGACATGGAGATGTGGTCATGGGCTTTTGGCAATATCGGCCTCACTCACGGCGCTGAGAATATGCTAAACCCTCATGACCCTCAAGTCTTGCAAAACTAATAAACCGCGACGCCGTGCATTTCTGTTTTTCATTCAACTTCGACAGCATTAAAGGGACATAACATTGAAATGCTTTTGTGCTGATAAAATGAGAATGTTGTTAAAACACCACATTGCATTGATGGCGAAATATCAAACGTCGTGCGAGAATATTTTTGATAAATCGACTCTGAACACTTGCCTGTCAAGATGTCGACTTATTCAAATAGAGTCAATTGATGACTTGATATCGATGGTCAACCATCCAATATCAATATAAAGAAAATGATGTTATCCATTATTGTTCAAAACAATAAAGAGAGAGCCTGCTCAAACAATTCACAACAGACTTCTTAGTTTTTTATACAATCTCCTCTGTTTATAATTCAATTTAATTTTCATATGGTTAAGAGAGAGAGAGAGAGAGAGAGAGAGAGAGAGAGAGAGAGAGAGTGAGAGAGAGAGAGAGAGCGAGAGAGAGGAAGCGGAGGGAGAGAGAAAGAGAGAGAGAGATTGAGAAAGAACTCATAACCTCTTTAGAATATAGATTTGAGGCTGATTTTGAAAGATATTCACTTCAAACCGATCCAAATAATAAACTAAAGTTTAACTTAATTGTGTTTACTTTTATCAACGAGTCCATTCTAGATTGCATCGTACGTGCGCGGACTTTCTGATTGGTACATGCTACTCGTGAAATTGTTTGGCAGCATTTGAAGATTAAGCTTTGCCATTCTTGTCAGTCGTGATTAATCTCTCTTCACGATTCTGTCGATCCGGGTTTTCCCCACTTTATACTACAACATTCTTAGATAGAATCCCTTGGGCTTTTTATATAGAAAACGTATAGAAACGAATTTTTCGGGGTCAGAAAACCCCAACCCTTAGACCTTTCCTCTCAATAAAAAATGTCACTTACCTCACTTGAAACGAACCGGTAGGTTCCGTCCAGCCCTTATGGGGGTCTACCACGTGTTCCAACTTACCTGATAGGAAGCAAATGACGATTTAACGCACTATTCCATATTCGACTTAATGATACTTTACGGTTGTCTTTATTTCCTCATATTTCCCTGTGATAAAAACAGCCAACTTTAACTTCAATAATATTTTTCGACTCATAATTCTTTATTGAACAGGTACTTATATGCAGGGTGAACACAGCTCCACCCAAATTGTTGTTTAAATAATCAAAATAACAAAAAGTGAAAAACACGTATCTAATGATTTTTTTTCTAGTTTAAGAGTAATTTCAATTTTATCACAGAATATACAGCATTCTGCAAGACAACTTTTTTTTATAAATAGAATACATTTTTAAATGCAGTTGTTTATAGTTGTTGTTCCCGAAGCATATCAGTACCAAGAACATGTCGATGATTTATTTATGTTAAGTTTGGTTAAACCTGTTTCTACGAATAACATGAGTTACCTTAATTTAAGTCTAACTTTACTACCAAACTTGACGCTTTTTCATTACATAGAAGGAAACATTGAAATTTCTAAAGTAACACCAATGAAACAGGAAACGGTATATGCATAGTAAGAGTTAACGAAAACAAATGAGAATTGTCAGCTCAGTTTGATCCAAGAGGAAAATTTTGAATTTTATCTTTCTGAGAGAAGAGAGATATGCAAAACAGTTACCACTGTCTTTCCCTCCATCAAATGGTTTAGGCAACCCTGTGGGCGACACTGATTCTCTGAAGTGAGGGTAATTAGCTTAGTGCAAACTTAGTTGAGTGTGCTGAAGTTTTTCGTAGAGTATTTTACATTATATATATATATATATATATATATACAATAACGATTCTGAAAAAATAACGTCAGTCGTCGGATTCAAACCTGTTTAACATCTTCAGTAGACTGTTTTAATTTTTAGGCATAAAAAGCTACAATTTGATTTTTTCTTGAAAATTGAATAAATTTCTCAACTGGTTTGTTTCAAGACGTATTACTCATAAGGGTTGGTTAATTTTTCGGGGCCGTTGGGCCGATGAAATTGGAACGTGGGCGCAGACGGGTGTTCCCACCTTCCTGAGTTATGCCTTTTAAACTATGGTGAAATTGTTTGTTTGCCTTTGTTCCGGTTGATTTACTGACCTTGTTCCACTTCGTCTTGGTCGGATGTGAAGTATGTGTTGTTGGGGATGTGTGGGTAGGTCGTGTTGATGGGCGGGGGTGAGGGGGGCATGTTCTGGGGTCGCCTCCTGTAGTTCAGCCTGCCAGCCTCTTTTAGCCTCTAGCTCTGAAAAGAAAAACGATAACGATTAGACTATTATAAGCCAAAGGAAACGAATTGACACATAAACAGACCAATTGGTTGTAACAGGCAATTTAAAATAAATTACGTTGAAACATTGTCTTACTTTCGTATATACATCTAAGTTTATCAGTTAAATGTGTATGACTTATTAAAGAAGTTAGGGGAAGTGAAAATAACATTTAAATACGTTTCACAGAATTTCAACTTAGAAACGTTATCGACAGCAGCACATATAACATAAAATTGTCGAAATCATCTGGCTGACAAATGTAATCTTGGTTAGTTAGACGATTTGCTTTCATAATTCATAAATATGATATATTTAATATTGTGTATTGCTTTGGTGATATAATCACCGAAAAGATATTGTTTTGTTACCTGTTGATTATTCGATGTTTAACAAATAAAACAAGGATAAATTTCTTGTTTACACTGTCAATTGTTTATGATTTAGGACTGCAAATTTTAATGTATGGTTTATTCGAAAGATACAACAGCGAACGTGTTTGGCGTAAATTGCATGCTATAAGTTCCACGTGAATTGAAAACCGGTTAGCCCTGGCTATGTGTTCTAGTAATTTCCATTCAACTGAATATCGGAGTCCTGACGATAATGTTGACAACGACTAACATTTGCGTAAATCCTCGTTTTAACCCTTTTTAGAAATGATTCAGAGTGATCAATGTTGGCTATCAAAATTCGAACCGATAGCACAGTAAACAACGGTTTGGGCAACAAGCAGACCAATTTGAAATATTTTCCGTTTCAATGTTGATTATTGGAAAGCTTTTTAAAATGATTATTTATCAAAAGTATAAATAAATAAAAATTATGGATATCCGGATTGTTTCCACACATAGTATGTTTTTTTAAATAAATACAGAATTTTCAAATTGTAAGGTAATAATGACTATGTTTTTTAATTAAATAGAATGTCATTGCAGACAAAAATTACTCAACAGTATGAGCATTTATTTTATTTAATATTCTAGATATTCATCTAAACGAAAGGAATCCTGCGAATTTCGTTTAATTAAATGAACTAGTTTTTTTTGTTTTTTTTTAACAAACGTTTTTCCCTCAATGAAAACAACGTTCTTTTTAAGCAACATGGATTCATATCTGTAGAATGCACGTTTCGTGATGTGATTTCAGATGTACGGTCCACATCATACCCACATACCAGGTGAGAGGTGGAATCTAATCTGGCGAGATAGATCGGTAAAAACGTCCCGACGCCTCGTCCCCCATCCCTCTGAGATCTCGCCGACCAAAATAATTTTTCAAGCGGTCCGAGGATAAGCAGAACTTCGGAAAAACATTCAAAAACCACTTACTTTTTTTCTTATACAATTACTTTCCTTTTCAAAACTTTTTTTTTGTTTCCGACAAGTAATTTTAAAACATACTTATTGAATTGACTCATTTAGAAAGTGTACAATTAAAAATTAAAGGGCCATTTCTGGAATTATAAAATTAAAATAAATAAAAAAACTTCTACCATAATAAACACACTTTTAAAGGGAAAATGACGAAAGTTTTTTTTTTTAGCCTTGTCTAAATAATTATAAATATATATATATCTGATAATTATCTATCTGATAGGCATTATTCTACTTGGCTGTTTAAATGCACATGACAGGAAGGTACTGCCGAAGTGTATAACCATTCCGCCGCGTTTCCCATAGTTGGATTGTAAATTTAGACAATATTTTTCAAATACAATTTAAATCTCCGTCTGTAGATACTGTCTGATGATTTATAGATGTTAACAAAGAAACAAACAATTCAACCAATAAATTATGCAATATACGCCCAGCGGTACGTCTCTTATACATTTTCAAATGACATATCTGTCTGCAACTCTAGAAAGTTATATATTACAGAAGTGGAACGGAATTTTAAACGTCTAGTACAAGGTCCTACCACGTCAAACAGACCCAATTGAATATTCACGTCGCAAACACGACAAACCAAACAGCGATGAAGACCAATATTAACTGAGTAGTATTGCTTATTGGCAGAAACGGAAAATGCATGTAGCCATAACTAATAAATACTAATTGGTTTGCTAACAAACCAGAAGGAAAGGTTTTTAATTAAAATGCACGATGGTGAGAGGGGAAGAGTAGCAATTTCAAATTCCAGAGGGAATGGAATTCAAGTCAGAACGGAATACGTCAGCCACTGACTTCATTTCATATTTGGGTTTTTTGGGGGGTTGTTTCCATGCAAACAGATTAAAAAACTTTGCCATTTTTGTTTAATTAATTGATATGTAAAAATTTTTAAGACCCTCTTTGTAAAAGATCACAATACATTTGAGGAAGAATATCACAGGTTCCCTCTATCCCTTCTATCCTAACTAACCTGTAAATTATTTAAACATATCTTTAATAACACATTAAACCTAAACATTCCTCTTAAAACTGATACCGAAATAGAACAAGCTGTCAATCTCCCCAAAAATAAAATCCAACACGCCATTCATCCATCGTTCTCTCCTCTAAGCCATCATAAGTCCTCTCCGCATTCCCATCTTCCCGAACCTTTCCGTTTACAGAGCAAGGTGCAATGGCAACGCCATCGTTACGAATCTGATAAAGTAACATTTAACCATTTCACTTATGTTCTGAAACTAAAACATTCCAAATACCTTTCATCCCAACTTCAGTCATACCTCAAATCCTAAAAAAACTCCCTTTGGCTAGCTTCTAGGAAGATTATCAAACACTACCAAGTGCCTTCTCCAATTAGATTTCCAAACGGTACCTGGGCTAGGTCAAACGCATAAAAGTGATATCTTCTTTTCGACCATCTTTCCACTACTGTGGATCCCATCCCGAGCTAAATGCCACTTCACACTCAGATCGCATCGCTGAATTCCTTGACAACCCCTCTACATTTCGCTCTACTTCTTAAGCCCATTGTATTTTACATTATGACAAAATGAGAAAGTGTTATTATTATCTCTTATTATTTTGTAAAATGTAGATTGATCACCTTTCCTTTTTTTAATCTGATCAGTCTCGATGCTTCTTTCAGAAGAGTTGTCATTTGTCCTGTTGATCTACTTTTTATTTTTTGTATAAGATTGTAAGAACTGACTTATATGTTCTAAATAAGGTTTTTATGTTTACTGTCAGTTATGCAGTAAATTTCTACCGATTTATGTGTTCATAAACTTTCTCTTGTTAAATATGTATATCAATAAGTTTTCAAGTATATCAATTTTCTTTCTGTGCGTTATGAGGGCAACTTGGTTTGGCTGAATCGTTGAATGTCCATGGTGGTCTTGTATTTCAAAGTTGGATTTTCCGCCATTGACCCGCAACAGTTTTATGGGATATTTGTTTATTTTTCTGTCAGTTATCCAATATATTTTTCCAATATATTTCGTATGCTAGTTTTAGGTTTTTTATCGAATAGGACGGTAATATGAGCGTGTATAAATTTATCTCTTTTTATTCGTTCTTTCTCTTTTGTATATATTTTATTTATCAAACTGATAAGACGGTTCTAAATCACTTTTTATGTGTGAATGAGTATTTATTATTTGTTCCTAACATCCCATCTTAAGTACACTCTTTGTTTAGAGGTTTAATGATGTTGTCCCTCTTGTCGTCGTTTTTCTCTGTATTTTTTATCATTTGGAGTTTTTTCTTATATTTTTTATTTATCAGTGAAGTTTTTCATCTTTCAGTCTGTTGATGTGCAATATTTTAATTTGTAATTTCGGGTTTGTACACGTTTTATTCATTTGTTTTTTATTCATTATTTTGTCTGGACAGTATTGGTCTGCTGGTTATTTTTTAGAGGTTTTTTTAATATTTGATTAATTAAATATATTAGTTTAATGTTTTTTAATAGTTTAAAAGACGTTTTAATGTCTATTTCTAAATTGTACTTTCGTTTTTTGGCACGGTCTTTATTGTTTATTAATTATGATTTTGATGATTCGTTTTATATTGATTTTGTCCTGTTATTTTTTAATATATTTTAGTGATTAGTTCTACTGATTTTATCGATTAGACTGTTCCGTACTTCATAAGTGTAATTCGTTCATGAAATGTTAATCTTTGATGTTGTGCTTTGTATATATTGAATGTAGATTTATTGTTTGCTTTGGAAATTGTTAGGTTTAATCAGTTGTGTTGAATGTTTCTAATAATTGTTACATATTTATGAAATGATTTCAGGTTTGCTACCATATTGTCCATGTTTTCCTTGTCTATCATGGCAGGTTAGCTGTCAAGCTACAAGTAGCTAGTTTGTATTTTCGCACACACGAATAGACGACAGATGTGGGATCACGGACTTTAACATCACATCATTTGGTATTTCTGAATCGAATAATATTAGACCCGGTTAGTATTTTATAATGGCTTGGTAAAGACCGAATGTCTTAAGTCGATCAAAAATTTCGTTTAAAAAACAAAACATTTCACTGTACATTGACGAATAGAAAACTAAGATATTCCAGATTTATACAATAAAAAACAAATATACAAATTCTGCTCTTTGTTGTTGGAAACTTAGTTTTAAAAGTTAATATATAGCACTTTTTCATACCTGTAATGCCATGCTTCAAGAGTATTACTTTGATCATTTGTCAAGCTTATTGTTAGCAGGCAAAGTAGCCCAGCTCTAGCAATGTTTGCTACTCTAGTTACAAAAGACTCAAACTCAGCCGGCACAGTTCACTCAGCAACAAAAGGAAAGCATCCGCTTTTTTTTGTTTTCTCGAGTGCATAATGAACATTGCTGTCTGTGGTACACAGTTTAAGTAAAGCTGCTCGTATATACAAATCAGAAATCAGATTGTCTGTGGGAATGATTCTTTCTACGACCAATAGATAGTGGCAAAATAGGCTTCTAAGTAAGTCTATAGTGACCATTTTGGCCAGCTAAAAATATAATTAACTCGCTCATTCAATTTTTTTTCAATTGGGTCTTACAATTTGATACGATGTTATCCCAA